CACGATCTCTTAGCATGAAACCTCTTACTATTTATCAATCCCTCAAGATTTGCTTTCTCTTGATGAAGAGTCGCCACCTCACTTTGACGTTCAACGAGTGCTGTCGATGCTCTGAAAAGTGAACAGGACACTTTTCGCACATGCGCCAAAGGGAATTTTTGTGAAAACAAGCAGCACAGCGTACTCAGCTAGAGATCTGCTATAATTATGACATTTTTAGTAATTGCCTTACATCTCTAGCTTCTTCTTGAGATCATCAGCGAGCTTATTGGCGCTCACCACTACTTCGCGTTCTTGACTGATTTCAGACGCCAAGTCGTCACGTTCTTGCACAACCCGTGCAAGTCTGAACAAGATTTTGATTAGTATACAAAGAGCTTAGAGAATCGCAACTTGAGTAAAATAAACGAATAAAAGAAATGAAGCATAATGTCATGTACCCTGTACCAAAGCCGTTCATAGTTTGCGATAGAGAAATTGAAGTAACGCTCGAAAATGTAGAACGTGAGAAAAATAAAGGATAAATGATTAGTCAGCTAAATACGGACTAAACCACCACTAAAAGAGAAACATGGACCGATTTCGGTACATCGGAGTCAAATATGAATATGTATGTTTGAATATGTACATTGACCAATAACAAACTGAAACAACTGCTGATGCTGAAGGAAAGGGCAAGGGAGAAAAAAAACCGAAAAAAAATGAAAAAGAAGGGAAAGAGAACAATGACGGAAAACAAAGGAGAAAAAAAAACGAAAAAAAAATGAAAAAGAAGGGAAAGAGAACAATGACAGAAAAGGGAGAGGAGAGGGAAGGAATTACCGGAGAAGTAGCAGTAATAAATAAATGCATAGCAAAAGCAAAATAGAATGAGAGGTTGAGATCAGGATGCGGGGAGGGGGGGGGGGGAGAAAAGAAAGAGGCAGGCAACAACAGAAGACTGAGTGCGAGCAAGCCCTGCGGCGCCACAGGTAGAAAAGAACCCTAGAAGACTAGCCGACCAGCAGGCTAGGGAGTTATCATGTTAACAAAAGCATGAAAGAGATAGATTATCCGGTATTAACCTGCATCTTCGGATGAGCCACGCATTCTACTTCCCCTACAGATAAAAACACTGACTAATACATGCTGGGTCTTGCTATACCTTGCATCTCATTCAAGTGCTAGTTTCAATAGTAGCCCTTGAATGAGATGCAAGGTATAGCACGACCCAGCATGTACTAGTCAGTGTTTTTATCTTCACAACGGAGCACGGTACAGCTACCGCGGAAAAAAGGAAGTTTGTTTGGTCTGCACGAAATTCGAATCAAGATTCAAACGCACATCTGCCCGGAGAAAAGAATATTGAAGCACCAAATACTATTGAAACACCACGTTGATCAACAAAAGAAGCGAAGAGTAAGCTTGAAATTATCGGTGATGCGTAAGAGTTCCCATTTTTCAGTAACTCACTCAGCTTGCACCGCCGCGATCTTCTCTTCGAAAAGCTTTCGCATTGCTTCCAGTTCCTTTGTGGTGGCTTCGTTCTTCTCACGCAAAGCCTCGCAATCAGATACGAGTGACCGAACACGAGCCATCTAATTTATCAGCAACCATTGGTAAATTTAGAATATCCTTCCGTCAATGTTCAAATTCACTTACATATTTCAGGAACACCGAAACAACAAAAACGACGATTACCAGTTAATTAATTCACTGGAAACCTACATCTACTTCATTGTTGTTACTTCCCGTTCCTCTGAATTGCATGCGCAGCTTCTCACTCTGTGCTAGAGCTTGGTCCTTAGCTGACAGCAATAATTCCAATTCCCTTTCCCTTCGCTGAAACAGCAATATTTTGAATACAGTAAGGGGGAATCAATCTTGAACAATTGTGGAACTATTCCTACCGACTCACCTCCATTAATAAAATCTTTTTTTCATACGCAGATAGAACTTCCGACACCTTAGCATCCTTTACCTAAACGAACTCCGCGTTTTTTTTTTGTGGGAAAAGTATAGGAAACATCAACTGAAACATACACTGAATCCATCTCTTATCCTCTGCAGTACTTCATCTAACACTCGTTCACTTTCTTTCGAGCTTCTTCTAGGTGAAACCACAAGAGCGGGTATTGCTGCTGTATCCATCGGTTCACAACTTCTGGATCTAAAAAGCTAACAGTAGAACAACAGAAGATTACATGATG